AAGGTTTCGTCAGAAACAGAGGTACGCATATTACCTATAAATAAAAATGCATCTTTCAATTCTTGTCTTCCAATTTCTATCTTACCCGATGATCCAGAAGAAAGACAAAATCTTGTTATTTATACCACATTGGAGCAATTCAATAATTTATCACTTAAATATAGCAACGAATATAGCGATTATTATGATTATTCAGGAATATGTCCAGCATGTAATGAAGAGCATAAAGGAGATGGTGTAAAAGGTTGGTGGGGTGATGGTAATTATTGTGGCGAAAAAACGTATCGTCTCTATTGTTGTAAGAGAACTTTTAGTGGAATCCCCATAGTAAATGTGAAAGCGTAAGTCAAAAAGAAATTAACTAAATATTAGTGATCGTAGATCACAAGATAAATTCTAACTAATATTTTTGCCAATTTACACAATCGCGTTAAAATAAAAAATGGCGGGGCACGAAACCCCTCTCTTTATTTCATAAAGATTATTGCCGGAACAACAATATACAAATAAAAAATATATATCGCTGTTACAGGTGCGAATACAAATAAAAAAAATTTACTATTTAATATAAATTAAAAAAATTAATTTCTTGGGGGGTCTACGTAAATATGAACGCCATTTTCATCGGGGGTAGAAGTAAAGTCTTTAGAAATTTTAATCATTGGTTTAAAGATAATACCATTGGGAGATGAACGTAGAATGATTTGAGTAGAAGGAATAGAATCAAATAAAGGTGCCAAGCGTTTTTTTACCATATGTTTGAGCAATTCATACTTTTTATCATCAGAAATTTCAATTGTAAAAACTTCATTTTCACTGCTACTTCCACTGACGAGACAGTTAAGATTAATAATTGCCATTTGAGAAACCCTGCAAGAAATATATAAAAGAGCCCATTGTAAGTAGAAATTAACTTAGAAATACAAAATCTCTTGTAAAAACAATATACGATAACTGACCTTGAAAATAAATTGTGAATATGCAACCTTTGTTTTCAACGGAGTTAACACGGCAAAAATAAATATATACAAGAGCAAAAATAATGTTATTACTAACTTATCTTACGGGTGAAAACGTGTTTATTTTTATACTTCACATTCGTTAGATCTAGAGAACCTGCCAGAAGGAAAATTACAAGCTTAGTAATTACATTACTCTTACACTGTCAGATTACACTTAATAAAGCAACCCCGTTTCGGTCATAAGTTCTAAATACTGAATCTATATCGTTATTTTTCTGGTGAAATTAACCCCCCTTAGATTTGACGATCGCTTAAGGTAGATTTAGATCTGACGATCTCGGAGATGGCGGAGATTTCAAGTTCCCGCAACATATGAATTTGGACCAAACTACTGATTAAGAACATTATACGTATTACCCTTATAACCTTTTTAAGTCCCATTCTTATCGCGGGATCGTATAAAGTAAGGAAAAGGGTCCTAGTTATTGTAAAATTGGTTAACGTCAACTAAAATCGACGTTGGGGAAGTAATTATGCATTAAGGTAACACCGCATAAAATTTAGACCCTTTGGGTCATTGCGAAGCAATAATGCTAGCCATTGATTATTAAAGCCGGTAAACTTTTTATCTGATAAACATGAATATTAAATTTTCGCTATTTTAGCTTCGACCTAGGCCAAAATAAAAGCGGACCTGTGAGATCGTTAAGTCATACGTATTAGATCCAGCACGGATCAATGGCGAAATACTGAAATAAGTCACTAACGGCTGTTATTTTTGAATGGCTATTAACGTGGTTGTGTTAAACTAACGCACATTTATGTTTACAGGTATTTGTATTTCTGTATTTACACTTCTGCACTTTGGTAAAAAAGCTAGATGTTTGATCAACATAATGCATAAATAGCGAAGTGCATAACGGTAATTCTAAATTTGTAAAGCGTGTAAAATTATTAACGATCTAATCCCAATATAGAAAACGTGCGATTGTTGATTGATTTGCCGTGTCCAATAATTGTGGTGCCGAATTTAGTAAATATTGTTTGAAATTATTATTATCGTTATGGCACCAAATAAAGCATCGTGCTAATGATTGTGATGTCGAATTACTATCCTTTATAGAATGCCATGATAAAATATTTGGCAAATTTATAAATTGACACGCGTTAGGAGTAAATATACTTTAGTTATAATTGTATTTTCTAATAAAAGGGTGCCTCCCAACATAGACGCCTATAAATTATTTGTCATTTTTTTATAACCCTACAAGCTTCGTTATATATATCACTAAAATTTTTCTACCTATTAATAACTTAAAATTCAAAAACAATGCAAGCATCTATCGAGAAGCGTAAAAATGAAAATGAAATTTCTAACCTTATTAACATATCCCAAGAGAAACCAGTCAAAAAGCTGTCACGCCATTCTCACTATAATAAAAAACAAAAACTTGAAAAAGAACAAAATTCGACCTTGTTAGCAGAATATAATATGTCTAGACCGATTTTACCATTAATAACTAGCAATATTATTTTTGATCCAGAGCAGGTATATATTGTTTTTGCCTTGGACTCCAGTTTTACCTTCTCATACCTGGGTTGTTTTTGTGTTGATCGGTCAATCGCCCAAGTTACTTGCTACGAGTATACTTAAGCTATGCAAAAAATTGTGTTCTGCCTCTGGCTTCTGTATGTTATGTGTTCGAAAGGGCATAATCATCATTTTTATGGCTCAGTATTTTGGCTTGGGTGGTTTGTTCAGTCCGCAAAAAATATGTAACATAGTGTGGGTTTATATAATTATTCGTATTGATAATTGCATCAGATATCTAATTTTATTTTCGTTAATATTAATTATATTAGCACCGAACCCAACATGCAACTTGGGGTTGTGTACACGTAATAAAATTTATTATATTGAAAATGAATGGAGGAGTGTTCCTCTTTGTCCGTCGGATTGTATATTATTGGGGGGTGTCAAAATTTGTAAAGAAATTTCAGCCAAAGATCTTTTAATCGACATGTTAATTTGAGAGACAAGATTGGCTAATATTGAGTTATCCGATATCTCGCCTAATTTCTTTCTGTTGGTTGATAAAGAAATAATTAAAATGGAAGAGCATGGTGATGCCAATCCCCATCCTGATGATGCAAAAAATAAACGTTTATGGGTCGCTCTTGGTTGCTAGTTGGGGATAGAGAAACCAGTTATAAGAAGAGATATGCGTCATTACCTTTGGTCTAAATGGATAGATCTTAAATATTCTGTTAATTTTCAAAATAATGAATTACAGGACATTTTAAGAACCAACTCATATATTTTTTGAAAAGAGAAAGCCTGTTTAATAATATCTGCCTGGGGTAATCTCTGTTCGTTAAAAAAATTAGTAAAGCTTCGCCATTTAACCATTTCAGAGTGTGTTATGGATATAGAAGGTAGAACATTAGTACACTTGGTATTACTAAATAATCCAAGAGCAGTTATGCAAGCAACGGATGCCGTAAACCATTATTATTTCCATACTCTAAATAACCCTTCCTACCGTAGTGATGAATTCTGGAAAAATTTTATAAAATATTTTGATACATATACACAAAATAATCTCTTCCCATTTACTATAGTGCAGGAAGTCTTAACTTTTCAATATAATAGATGATCTTTAAAATCTATTAACTTCTTAAAAAATTAAAATTTTAAAAAACTAACCAGTAATTTTGTTTTTTA